CGTTTTCTAATCGCACAGCTTCCACCCAGTCAGCAACAGCTTGGATGCTACATGTACAGGCAGGCTCCTTCCCCTGCCCAGCCCCAGCAAGCAAGTTGCCTTAGCGACACTGTTCCGATCACCTCGCTCAAGATGACGAACAAGAAAAGTCGATGTGACATCTTTGCGAAGCAGAAATCAAGAACAGTCTGGACGCAGTTCCTGGGGCTGCGGTCTCTTTAAATCCGTCCCTCGCGTCGTCCGTCCGGCGGGGACGGAGGGAAGTACACGTGGACCTGAGCTATCGGCCCGGGCCGCGGCGGCACCGGATAGGGGCCGAGCCGGAGCGCGCAGCGGAGCCCCCGGCCCGGGGTAGCGCGCTAGACACGGGCGGCGTCCCCCGGACAGCCCTGCCGCCCGACACTTACTCTTGTTGACGGTCTTGAGGGCGCGCGTGAAGTCGCCGTTCTGGCCATAACGGTTCACTTCACTCCACAGCGCAGGAACCGACACCCCGACGCTGCCGCCGCTCGCCATCTTGGAGCTGGGGGGGGCGACCTCTGCCCCGGAAGAGGATCCCGGAGTGGGCCGAGCGGAGGAGGAAGTCGGCGGTTGCTAGGTGTCCCTAAACTGGCGTTGGCGGTTGTAACCTCCGGTCTCGTGGCTAGACGTGCACGTCATTAGAGACTTGTCCGGATGCGGACTGCAGGAAAGAGGCGGCGAATTCCGAAGAGAATTTAGAAGAGGCTCACCAAGTAGCGTCCGCCCAAAGCTGCATGCACCCTGGGTCACCACTGTGCTCAGGTGTGGGTGGGCGACGGCCACCGGAGAAAGGGCTATCAAGTGCTAACTAAAGCTGAGGGAGCCACTCGAAGGAAGCGGGCAGCGGCACGCTCTGCAGGGGTGCTTCAGAATGCTGGACGGAGGAATTGAGGGCTCGACAGTGATTAAGAGGACCTGGGGTTGAGTCTGTGGCAAGTGATGGGCTGTCTGACACAGAAGAAAACGCAATGAAAGGTAACGGAGAAGAAATCCGTCAGTGCAAAACAGTTTGGTGGAAAAAGCGTAGCCGTCCTTTGAACTACAGTTCAGGAGCAGTGGGTTGAAAGCTCACGGGGTGAGAATGCCCAAGTTCTGAACCAGATTATACGACTGATGAAGAGCCCCTACAGTAAAAAAACTCCCACATTTCAGTTTCACCCACTGTAAGGTGGGGATAAAGTATGTTCCAGGAATAAAAGATAATTCATACATCTGGTACGTACACATTGGAGAAACAGGAATTTAAGCCTTGGGTAATGGGTTCCTATGCAAGAATATAATGGATACCTATTAACTTGATGGGGCATGGCATTTTACTGAATGACTTGCTCCAGACAGGTATTTTACAACCTTCTACCTCTTCTTTCCCAACAACCCATGTAATTATTTATCTAGGTGGGCAATATTGTAGTTCTAAGGCTCCCCCCATTGGTGCTGGAGGGCAGTCTTATTCGTGTGAGGCAAGTGTTTTTACCATTTCCCTGCAACTTCAGCCCAAGGCTCTCTATTGAGTACTTACATCCTTTAAGGCCCATCTCACCGGAATGGTCTAGAGTTCTGAGGCCAGAGACCATTTTTATTTTGCTTACTGTTACTACTTTTTACAATTACCTAATGCAGTTCCTACTCAGCTTTTAAACAATGTCTTTGCATTTATGAAAGTGCACTGTGTCCTGCAATGCCTGTGGTGGTCAGAAGATGGTACTGGATCGCCTGGAACTGGAGTTATGGATGACTGTTAGCTGCCACGTGGGTGCTGAGAACGGAACCCAATTCCTCTGCAAGAGCTAGTGCTCTAATTGCACCATCTCTCCATCCCTGCTTTTAAACTCCTTTTAAATGGAATGAATTTTACTTCATGTTTCTTACCTGTGAGTTGAGGGCTAAAATTGTCTAGCTCCTGGTTGTTGAATGGTACCTGCCAACTTTCACATGTGGTCACTCATTGTAATATATGATACTGAACTTATTTGGGGGACATGGTTTCAGATTGTAGCCCATGGTAGGTTGGCTCTGTTGCTTTGGGACTGTGGTGAGGAAGCACATCATAATGGAAAGCCCATGGTAGTAGATAAAAGCTCATCACCCTATGGTAGCTGAGAAAGAGAGGATGGGCCATAGTCCCACAGCATCTCTTTCAAGGGTACATCCCCAAAGGCACTCTCCAGTAGGCTCTGTCTCCTAAGGGTATCATCACTTGTGAACAGTGCCAAAGGTTCTCACACATTTAAGACATAGGCCTTTGGAGGACATTCAAGATCCCAACTATAGCACACTCCCTAACTGCCTTGCACACACCAGTCCTCATAGTTCCATGTCCCCATACCTTTGGGAGTTACACATTCAACAAGTATTCCAGTGTCATGTAAATGCCAGTACTAGGAATTACAGCAGTTGCTGGGATGAAGTTAACAAGATATCCAGTGTGCTTGAGGAATGCACTTTCTATTTGGAAGGGACAAGCAAATGAAAATATACTAGGTAGTGTGCTAGGTTCTATGACAAAAAATTAGGAAAATGAGAATGAACTGAAGCATTGGAATCCCTCCTTTTGGGTCTGACAGATGGCTCAGAAGTTAAGAGTAGTGGCTGCTCTTGGAGAGGATCCTGGTTCAGTTCCCAGCCCACATGGCAGCTAACTCAGTTCCAGGGGATCTGATGCCATCTTCTGGCATCCACAGGCATTGCATGACACAGTGCACTTAACATTACATGCAGAAAAACAGAATTTTTTTTTTTTAAAGAATCCCTCCTTTTCAAAACATTTTTTTTTCTTTAGAGCTCAGAAAGACCCTATCAAAAGCACCCTATCATTTCACATTAGGATCATTTAAAGGACTAAGGTTTTTTTTTTTTAATTTTTAAAAAGTATTTATTTAATAACATACTTAGAAGAAGCATATCATTACAACACAATTGACATATTCAATAACGGTTTCCTGAGGTAGGATGCATCACTTTCAAAATTGGCTGTAAATTTTTAGGTTTACAGTTGAATTATTACAGTTATACAATATTGTACTCAGTATAAACCCTATAAGACATAAATTAAATGACGTTTTAACCTTTAAAAAAGATCTCCATTTCATTATTAAAATACACAGTTTCATACAGAAAAATTCTTTTTCAATGCAATTGACATTGGATGTTTTCACATGCATTTCTAATCTCTATATACATGACTATCACTGGTCTCAGTCGCCCACCTTCTGAGCTCCTCGGCATCTGAGCATGAATACAAACTCGTCAGATAGACAGCCTTCCTCTCCCACTAGAGGCTCCATACTCTGCCATCCCTGTCGCTGTCCACTGTGTTGTCAGCACCCTCATCCATTCCCCTTGTCTGCCCTTCTGGTAAATCTAGTCAGCCAGAGGTCCCTGTTCCAGGAGGGTCAGCTGTTCCTCATCTACGGCAATCCATTGGCAGTTTTCCTTTGGACAGAATTGGGGTCTGCTGTTCATTTTTCCAGTAGTATGTTGGGTTACTGTCTGGAAGAGCCTTTATCTATCCTAGCCAACAACTCGACTGAAGGTATCGCCTGTCTGGCTTTGTTGTTTGTCGAGTAACTTTTAGTTATGTATATGTATGCTCTTATGATATTATGTTGGCCCCTTTAATCTTTGGTTATACTTCCCTTTTGGGTGTTTAAGGACATACAATTGGACCAGATAAACTGATTTGTTTTTACTCTTGAGGTCGTTAGAGGATTTGTTCCTCAGGGGTCCCATGGGGTTGGGAGGAGCCCCTGGCTCCTTTCTTTTACCAGAAGGACTAAGGTTTTAACTCAATGGTAATCATTTGTCTAGCATGCCCAAGGCCCCCTGGTGTTCAATACCCAAATGGTAAAAAAGAAAACACCCCAAACATGAAGAGCTATTTAGTAGTGTTTTCAAACTGTCCCTGAAAGACACCAGAACTTATTGAGGGCAGAAATTCAGTCTTACTATTGCATTCCCAGGATCTTGTACATAGGTTACAGGATGCATTTGTGGGAGATCGCCAGAGAAGGAATTGTGTTTGTGTGTGTGAAGCCTCACAGTCTGCTGTCTGCAAGCTAGGAAAAATAGTTCTGGTCTAGACATGATGTCCTGAGTGATTACTGAGGGCAAGAGATGTATTTCCCAGATCAAGTAGAGTACAAATTCACATTTGCTCCCTTTTTAGATTAGCCTTCAACAGACTGGTGAAGCAATCTTTTTACTCAGTCTTCTGATTTAATGCTATGCACACACACACGCACGCGCAGTATCTTCTACCTGGGCTGTCAGCCTAGGCAAGTGAATAAAATTAGCCTTTATGTAGGTACTCAAATACTTACTTTTATATGGATAGATCTGGAGATTTATTATTATTCCAGAGATGCTTCCATGTACCTTATCATACACTAACAAATCTCATGAGACAAACGTGTTGCTTAGCTCCGCAAAATCCTAAATGCTTGCCTCCTGTGTGCTCGGATTACAGTTGTACCACCAAACTTGGTGTTCTAAGGACTCATGCTGAATGATGGCAGTTTGCAGATGTTCCATGGCATGTCACATTGCCTTTCTTACATATTCTCAGAAACAAATCTAGTTGATAAAAATATCGGTCAGGGTAATTTTCATGATGAATTACAACCAATTTATCTTCCACATAGATTGTCAAATGGATACTATGAAATCTAGTCATATATCAGGACATGGTTTAACTTGATTTTCATAGCATTAGGCATGGAAGCAACAGCAATTCTAAGCATGCTTATAATAAAAGTTTAAAAACTTGGTCTGGGGATATAACTCGGTAGAATATTTGCTTAACAACCAAAAAAGTATGGATTCAATTCCTACCACCACATAAACTAGGTGTGGTGTTACACACTTGTAATTCCAGCAATCAGGAAGATTGGATCAGAAGTAATCCTCAGGTATATATCAAGTTTGATACCAACCTACACTACATGAAGCAATGTCTCAGTAAATAGAATTACATTATTTGCAGTTTTCCTTCCTTTTATGTTTACCCATGAACATATGGAAATCAATACAAGTTTGCATATATTTTTATAAAAAAAAATTTCAGACAGACTTAGCATTGATGAACTATACTACTGAGGATGTAGGGTTCAGCTATAACAGTAAATTCCCATTGATAATGGTCAGTCCTATTCACCAGTTTAAATTTGTTTTAAAATTTTCATGTGGAGGGGCTGGAGAGATGGCTCAGTGGTTAAGAACACTGGTTGTTCTTGCAGAAGACCTGAGTTCGAATCCCAGCACCCACATGGCAGCTAAATTCCAGGGGATCTGACATCTCTTCTGTCCTCCAAGGCCATTGCACAACACGGGTGCACTTACTACATGCAGGCAATATACTCATACACATAAAATAAAAATAATAAAATATTAAAAAGAAATTTTTTTTCATGTGCTGCCCGGGGTGGTGGTATACGCCTCTATTCCCAGCATTTGGGAGGCAGAGGCGAGTTCCAGGCCAGCCTGGTCTACATAGCGAGTTCCAGGCCAGTTGGGACTACAGGGAGACCCTGTCTCAGAGACCAAAAAAAAAAAGTGTAAAATCTCTTACAATTCTTGGGTTGGAGAGGATGGCTCAGCAGTTAAGAACACTGGTTGTTCTTGCAGAAGCCCGGGATTCGAATCCCAGCACCCACATGGCAGCTAAAAACTGTAACTCCAGTTCCAGGGGAATCCAACAGCCTCTTCTGTCCTCCTAGGGCACTGCATGACACAAGTGCACTTACCTGTGTGCACACAATACAGGCATATACATAAATTATTATTTTTTAAAAATTACAATTCTCAGGGCTGGAGAGATGGCTCATCGGTAAAGAGCACTGAGGACCCAGGTTCAATTCCCCAGCACTCACATGGTGGCTTACCACCATCCATAACTCCAGTTTCAGGGGAATCTGATGCATTCTTCTGACCTCCGAAGACATTATTGCAGGCAATACACTCATATACATAAAAAAAAAAAAACTAAAACATTAAAGAAAAATTACAATTCTCTCATCTCTAATTATAGCTAAGCATAAGAGTCAAAGTATGATGATTAATCTTCACTATTAATTTGACAGGACTTAAGAGTACCTCTGGATATGTCCATGAGGGTGTTTTCAGAATGCTTTAAGTAACTTATGACTGCTCAACCTTTGGGTTGGGTCCTAGACTGAGTAAAAAGGAAAAAATTAACTGAGCACCAGGAGTTATCTCTGCTTCCTGTGGAAACAGCACAACTTGCTGCCTTAGGATCCTGCAGCATGCCTTCTCTGCCTTGATGAAATGAACTCTCAAACTGTGAGCTAAAGAACTCTACTCTTAAGTTGCTTCTTTCAGGTAATGAGAAAAGTAAACTGATAGTGTAAAGTTATTTCCTTCTTAGAGTTTACAATTCAACAGAGAATTACTATAGCCATTGTGATTGAGGTGTCCTGGAAATGAAGATCAAGTACTAGTCATTAATAGATTTTAATGTGTTGTTTAAAAACAAAAACAAAAAGAGGTCCTTTAAAGAACTAAAATGTACAAGTGTATGACAGCAAAAAATGCAGAGGACCTGGGTTGGCGTCCCAGCACCCACATGGCTAATAACTGTCCGGAACTCCAGTTCCAGGGGATCCGATGCCCTCTTCTGACCTTTATGGGCATTGCATGACACAGGTGCACTTACATACATGAAAGCAATACACTTATATCCATAAAACATACATATGTTTGTGGCCAGGCATGGTGGTATACACCTTTAATCCTAGCACTTGGGAGGCAGAGGCAGGTGGTTCTCTGTGAGATTGAGGCCAACCTGGCCTACATAGCAAGTTCCAGGACAGCTGGGGTTATAGGGAAACTGTCTCAAAAAGACTAAAAAAGAGAGAGAAGAATCTAAGTTTGTGACCCACAAAGGCAGATTATCCAATCTTTTATTGCAATGGCAAAGATGACTGTTCTTTCCCACAGAATTGTCCTGATACTCAAAGACCTCACAAAATTCACCTTTCCATGACTTCCACCATCTCATTTTGTTTTCCACACCTCTACCACTAATCTCCACACACACACACAATCTACAAGCAAACCAGTGGTAAAGGTGAGGCTTATAGGTATGCTTGCCTAGTATGTACAAAGCAAGACCCTATGGTTCCACTATCTCCATTACAAAAACAAAACCCCACTAAAGCACAAAAACACATTAGCCATAGATTCACAAAATTATTTATTTTCTTAGATAACAACTAATACGGCTCCCATACAACTTACAAACCACACAGTGAGAATACATTTTTCTTACCATGTACAATGTAAGCCCTCTGCAAGAACAGCATGTAGTCTTAACTGCTGAGCCAACTCTCTAGCCACATAAACTATTTCTTTGCTCTTATGTTACCTATCCAACAATGACTATTACAGTGGGTGAAATTAAGTGTTGAACCCATTACTTAGCACAAGGCTTCCTTGAAGTGATCATGGTGCCTCTACCACCAAAATGCTGGGATTACAGGCCCATGCCACCATACAAAGTTAAAAAATATTACAAATACCAACAGATAAGTCTTTCAGCCCACCAATCTAGAGAAGCATTTGTTCACTAGTAAATTTAATTTTTTTCATAGCTAAGCTAGGAATATGTAACTTTCTCCTAAAAATTAAAAATGACATTATCTCTCAGAAATTGCATTCTTTGATTTTCTTGTCAGCTTGCTTTAGGGATATCCACGTGTTCAATATGCTTGCTCGTAGTTTGGCCCATACCAAATGGTTATTTAACCCAAATATCTGAGCAGCAAACTGAGCCGATCCTTCTGGAGAAAGTATGGTCGAACAGCCAAGACCTATTGGTTCAGAAAGTTAAAGATGGAAAATTGAGCTGGCAGCTTAAAAATAAATTTTAAAGAACTATAATAAACTCAAGTTGGTTTTTTTTTTTTTTCTGGTCTTTTTGAGACAGAGTCTCCCTGTAGCCCCAGCTGACCTGGAACTCGCTATGTAGACCAGGCTGGCCTCGAACTCACAGAGATCCACCTGCCTCTGCTTCTGCTTCTGCCTCCCAAGCTCTGGGATTAAAGGCGTACACCACGCCCCAACAAACTCAAGCTTTAATCGCTTAGAAATGTATACTTAGCAAGTAAGTATAAAATAGTAGGCTGGGGTTATATATGCAATAAAATATAATTGCTGAGGTGAGATAATAGGTAATGAGATTAAACCTTGAAATTTTGGGGATACAGAATACTAAAAATTATCTAGTGTCTTACCACTGGGTAGTCGAAGAGATGACCACACATCCTGAGCTCCCCAGTCTGGTGTGATGGGAGGACAGCTGATAACTGGATATGCAGTATTAGCAGACATCACTGGTCCCAAACCATTGCTTCTGCCTGCCACTGCCACAAATACAGTGGGAATGCCATCCCCTAGGGAAATTACAAGATTACAGTTAGGTTTATTTTGTTAAGTCCTCGGGCTGGTGAGATGGCTCAGTGGGTAAGGACTGCCCCAAGTCATACTCTGACCTCCACATGTATGCCTGCACACACATACAAGTAAAACATACCACCTACAGGTAGTACTTCCCTAGCATGTGCGAAGCAAGGCACCAAATAACCTAGGTAGAATAGGCTATAGATCATCTTTGAGATCTATAGTTGGTGAGGTTTGAATGAGAAGTGCTCCCCCCTCCCCCATCTTAGGCTCAGGTATTGGAACACTTGGTCCCTAGCTGGCACCATTTTGGGAAGTCATGGAACCTTTAGGAGGTGTAGACTTGCTCCAAGTGTGTCACTGGTGCAGGCTTTGAGAGTTCATAGCCTACCCCACTTCCAGTTTATTCTCTCTGCTTGGTATTGCAGCTGGAGATGTCATCTCTCAGCTTCCTTGCTCCAGACGCCTACTGCCATGCCTCCCACAGTTGGATTCTTCCCCTGGAACCATACACCGAAAGACATGCTTCTTTCTATAAGTTGCTTTTGGTCATGGCATTTTCTCATAGCAACAGAAAAGCAACTACTACAGAAGTATGAGGGAAAGCCATGAGGCTAGTGAGGCCGGCTTATGGTTTCCTTCTGCTACAGCTACTTTGGTTCAGCCAAACAAGAACTTAATTGAACAGGCATCTTTTGTGTTGAGTGGTCCTTCAAGAGGGTAGGGGGAGACTCATTGAGTAGTGACTAGAGGTTTTGAAACACTTCCTGAATAATACAGTATCTAAGATTGGGGCAGCACAGCTCTCAAAATTCAAGTGCTTGGCATGCTTGATGCTACAGGCTTAATCATCTCCAGCAACAAAAAAGGTGCACACAAAAATTTCAAACTTAAGAATCCCTGATAATATCTAACATCTCTTGAGCATTGTTATTTTCTTATGAAATTAAAAATTACCCTTTTCTTTCTTGAAGCAGACTGGCAAACTTCCCCTTTTCTGACATATAGACTTCTCCGTAGCTCAGGCTCACCTTGAACTTACAGCAATCCTCCTGGTTTTATCCTACCAAGTGCTAAGATTACCATGTGTAATTACTATACCTCGTTTTATATGGTACTGAACATTGAACTCTGGGTCTTTTGCATGCTGAATACACTACCAATGAGCTACACTATAAAAATTTCACATTATTTGAATTTTCCTGGACAAATTCTAACCTTCATTAGCTTATTAAAGGGTTCTCAAGTCTCTTCCCCACTATTACCTCTACTTCTGTAGCAATAACCTTTAGAAAGGATAGTCAAACATTTTCTTCCACTTAAGAAATGTTTTGTTGTGAACACAGGACTTTAATATTTTATCTATTTCTATTTTATATGTGTTTCATCTGCATGTAAGTGCAACCATGTCGTGCACTGCCAGAAGATGGCACTGGATCCCCTGGAACTGGAGTTACAGATGGCTGTTGGCTGTGATATGGGTACTGACAACTGAATCCCAGTCCTCTGCAAAAGTAGCCATAACTCTTAACCACCTCTCCAGCCCCCAGGGCTTTACTATTTAGATCAATGATACCCTACCATTTATTTAATGTACTACATCTCAAAATTACGGCTTTATGTTTGCTTCTAGGGAAGACTGGCAGTTAAAGACAGCAGAGGATCTGTTCTTCAGCTTTCTGCAGCTGATATGGTGCTCTTTTCTGATGGGAAGACCCTAGAAACAATGCTTGAAGGATGCTCATGAGACAAAGAGGTCCTCATGGGTCTCATCTTATAACTGGAAAATTACTCATTCCTCTGAAGAGTGTAAGCCAGCCAAGGGGCAAGACAAAGAGCACCCCGGGAAGAGGGGTAGAGCTGCTGGGGGAGACGGAGAGTTAGCTGGGGAGAGTTAGGCCAGCAACGTGGGGCTGGAGAAAGGGTGTGTGGGGCTGCAGGGGTGAACTGCAGTGTCTGGTGGGGTACAGACATGCAATGGGTCTTGAAATGGGTCTTACGTAGGCGCAGTGCTCGGCAAAGCTGATGGAGACTATGGCAAGCTTGAATGGCATATGGGTTATGGGAAGCCAGTTCTGGGGAGTCACTTCCCACCCCCAAATGTCATAAAACAGTACAAAATCCAAACTAAAAATGTCTTATGTTAGTCTGTGAGCCCTGGGACCTCCAAAGAAGGGGAAAGGGAAGAAAATCTAGTGCAACACGTCTATTTTCTATGCTTGTATTTTGAATTTCCTTTCCTTCATCTTTTGTAAGCTTCTGAAATGTATAATGAAGGTGTAGGCATGCCACAGAACTAGAAATATGGAAAAGCTCTTTTGAGAATTATTATTCTAAAATAATGTATTTTTAAATCTTTAAAACCACAAATACCTTAAACTCTGTAGTTATTTGACATTTACCTTCATATTCTGCTTTAATCCTCAGAGTTTCATCTGGTCCTTTATGAGCAGATGTTACCCGAAGTTTACATGGAATCCCAAAACTTCCACAAGCCTTCTTGATTTTCTCACAGTGACTAAGATCAGAAGTTGAACCCATTAACACTACAACTCTGCACTGACTTTCTGATTTCAGAAGCAACTGGAAAAGAAAAATATGAATATGAAAAGACAGAAATAGCTAAGCATAGGAATGAGCACCGTTAAGAATGCCGTATTTTTTTTTCTTGGGGTCTTGAAATAGGATGTTATGTAGCTGAAGATGACCTTCCTCCATCCGTCAAGGACTGGGATGCCTGGCTCCAGTATTTTTCTTTTTTTTATCCTTCTCCTTTCTCTTACTTTTAGAGGGTCTCACATAGCACAGGCTGACCTGGAACTCCACAGATAGCAGAAGATGACCCTAAATGTCTGCTCCTCCTGCCTGTATCTCCTAAGTGTTGGGATCACAGGTGTGTACCACCACACCTAGTTTTATGCACTACTAGGGATCAAATTTAGGGCTTCAGGCACACTAGGCAAGCACTTGTAAAATGAGCTACATCCCAAGCCCAAGCATTTTCTTTCATAAAAAAATTTGTATTTTTATGTGTATGAGTGTAACGCCTGTATGTATATGTAAGTGAACCCAAGACATGCTATGCCTGAGGCCAGAAGGAGGCATCAGATCCCTGGAATTGGGAGTTCTGGACGGTTGTTAGCGTCCATGTGGGTGCTGGGATTCATACCCAAGTCTACTGCAAGAGCAGACAGTGCTCTTAACTGCTGAGCCATCTCTCTAGCCCCGTATTTTCTTAACAGACCAAATTTAAGCAGAAAAATATTAAAAAAAAATTTCTCCACATTAAGGAAAGTTTGTTTCATAACTAATACCTAACAGGTAAGTTTTTTTTTTTTTCCTTATTGAGACAGGGTCTTGCTATGTCCCTCAGGCTTGCCTCAAACTTGCAATCCTAGGGCCTTAGCCTGAATAAGAGGACAGGTATGTTGCTACCTCACTTGCTTACAGACAAGACTTTATCACATAAGCTGTTTTTACTAATGAAAAGCATAAATAACTCTCTTAATATTCAGGAAACTAGAACATAAAATATTTCATTCCAAGGGCTTTCTCTTTCCTAGATGTTTTAAGGCATGATCAATCAAATTAGGTTAGGTTATAAATCTTTGTAGTCCATTGCTTTGAACTCCAAATATATGTTCTCTTGGAAGTATGTTCTAAGTGATCATAACACAAGTAATAAGTCCCAATGAACTTTCATAGAGTAGGTAGTATGCCATGGATGGTCCCTAAAGGTGTTCCTCTCTTTGAAAGTCACTGAAAATAAATGCACTTTGCCTCTTACATTTTATTTTCAAACAAGGATTTTCTATTTTCTTGAGCAGAGTCTCAATTAGGGTGCCCACACTGGCCTGGGAATTAAGAATCCTCGTGTTATCACTCTCTAGAATAGCTAGGATTGCAGGTATGTACCATACCTAGCTTGAAAAAAATGTTCTTTTTGGGGAGTGTATGGAGTGCAGAGGACAACTTCAGATGTTGTTCCTCAGGTAGCATTCAACTCTTGTTTTATAAAACATTTTATTTATTGTGTCTGCATGTGCACTTGTGGAGGTCAGAGAACAATTCTGTGGAGTTGGTTCTCTCCTCCACCTTTATGTGTGTTCCAGAGATTAGACTCAGGTCATCAGGGTTTCACAGCAAGTAAGTGCTCTACCCACTGAGAAATTATGACAAACAAATCTACCCTTTAACCCACTTTACTTATTCACACACCCACACCCCCTTCCTCGATTCTCACTAACCTGGAACTCACCAAGAAGTACGCAGCTGACCAGGAAGCCCCAGGGTGCCTGTCCCCACCTTCCAAACCTTGGGATTACAAATGGGCACCACACCTGATCTCTAAATTCTACATGGGTCATGCTTACAAGTCAAGTACTTTATCAACCAGTGGGCTCTTTCCTCAGCCCACTGAAACAATTTCTTTGAAAAATAAAAAGCATGGGGTTCAAGAGATAGCTCAGCAGTTAAGAACATTGGTTATTCTTGCAGAAGACCCAGGTTCAAATCCCAGTACCCACATGGTAGCTAACAACTATAACTCCAGTCCCAGGGGATCCGACAGCCTATTCTAACCTTCTCGGGCACTGCACAACATGGGTGCAGTTACCTACATGCAGGCAACACATGCATACATGTAAAATAAAACAAAATAAATAAAAAAAGAAAAAAGCACGTAATGTACAGTACAGGTTTATTAGGAAAGAATTACCTCTATTTTATCTGCAACCCACTCAAAGTTTTTCTTTACCATCTGGAGGCCTTCAGGAGTTACTTCTTTGAGGTCCCGGTAACACTAGAAAATAAGGTAGAAAAAGTTTAGAAAACAAGTTTCTCCTGTATCTAACACTTACTTTTATTTCAAGAGATGTGAAAACATTGCAATATATAAATTCATTTCTTAAAAGAAAGTTCAGGTTAAATGCTTTCTGAACAACTAACTGCCTTGAGAATTCTAATGTATAAGAGCATCTTGCCTTTATTTTGTTAGGAGAAATAGAGCCTGATAAGGGCACAAGACATGATGTACAGTCCCAGATCTGTCACATACACTCATACCTGTGAAGATACTTATCATTTTAGAACCCTAGTTTTTAATTAGATAAACAAGGGCAATACTTGTTCTGTTATTGTTTGAGAGTCTAAAGATAATAAACAGATGTACATTGTAAGCTTAAGTATTCCATATCAGGATATAGGAGATCTCTGTTGTTTGCTTTTAATTTTTGTTACTAAAGACTGAATTCAGGGCTTTGTAGACGTTAAGCAAGTGCTATACTACTGAGGTCTATTTCCATGGGAAGAGATTTCCTATCTCCTTCCACAGCTTAAGCTTACACAAAGATAATGTAAATCCAAAGCATCAGTTACCTGTTTGTCTTTCTGCAGGCTCCGATCTCCAGATGGCCAGAGTCTCCAGGAATCATTATCAATAACATCAGCAAGAACAATCTCTTTGGTAGTTATATCGACACCAAATTCAATCTAGAAACAGTATATTGCCAAGGAAAATTATTTTTTAAAATTACACTCTTAAAGATATTTCTTAACTAACTACAATTTTTTTTTTTTTTTTTTTTTTTTTTTTTTTTTTAAAAAAAAAAAAAAAAAAAAGAGGACGATAAATCTTTCACTGTGATATATCAAAATAAATGAATTTCCAAGAGTACATGTATTTTTTTTTTTTTTTGTCTTTTTGAGACAGGGTCTCCCTGTAGCCCCCGCTGTCCTGGACCTCACTATGTAGACCAGGCTGGCCTTGAACTCACAGAGATCCACCTGCCTCTGCCTCCCGAGTGCTGGGATTAAAGGCGTGTGCCACCACACCCAGCTTATAACCTTAACTTTTAAATCTCCTTATTTTATCAGTACCTTCATATCTACCAGTGTACAGTTCTGGGGCAACCAGGCTTTCTCCAATATTTCAAAAATAGCTTGTGTTGCATGACTCATGATATCCACTTCAGCCTGGCCTATGACAAGTCCAGCAAAACAGAATTTTGCAGCAATGAGTTGTTCTTCAGACCACTGTGGATCACCTTAACTTTTAAATCTCCTTATTTTATCAGTACCTTCATATCTACCAGTGTACAGTTCTGGGGCAACCAGGCTTTCTCCAATATTTCAAAAATAGCTTGTGTTGCATGACTCATGATATCCACTTCAGCCTGGCCTATGACAAGTCCAGCAAAACAGAATTTTGCAGCAATGAGTTGTTCTTCAGACCACTGTGGATCATTATTGGCATCATCCTGTGAACAAATCATAGTAGCCCAGTTATTTATGTCTTTTTCGAGACAAGATATCCTTGAAACCCCAGCTATCCTAGAACTCCCTATATAGACTAAGACAGCTTCGCTCTCATAGAAATCTGCCTGCCTCTGCCACCCCAACACTGGGATTAACGGTGTGTGCCACCAGGACCAGCTAGTAGTTAATTTAAATCAAAGAACTCTGGACTTTTAAGAAAAACTAAAGTCCTTTGAATATGGATTCCTAAGAACTATCAATTTAATTAAAAAATATTTTGATTCAAATAAAAAATCTGATTTAGCTACTCGAAGTTTATTTTATTGACATAATTTCTAGAATGACATCTGCAGTACCAAACAATATTTAACCATTTAAGTTTGTAATTCTAAATTTGGTTTTAAAGTATACAAGTCACAAAAATATAAAATAATTACCTTAAAAAACATCTCCACTTTAGGAGGGTAAAACTTATATCCTTCCTTCACACCAGGATTTCTTTTGAGAAAAGAGCCTGTAGCTATTCTTCGGCAAACCCATTCAATTGGAATCATTTCACACTGAGGAGCGATGAAAGCTGTCTCTCCACATTTTTTAGTGAAAGCAGTTTTGATACCTACATATTGATATTAAAAGGGTTAAAAAAAAAAAGCAATGATTTTTTGGGGGGGACACCGTGTTTAATCGGGGACAGCAAGGCCTGGGGAAGACTGAATGGAAGATGACGTAGACTCACCCTCACAGGCACTTAACCCGCTTAACGCTTTCACGTGCATAAAAAAAATGTGTGGGAGCCGGTACACCCGGAGCAGGTCAGGGTGGCATGGGTACCCCCGCAGGGGGATGTTCAGCTCTGAGAATGGGGTCTGGTGGGGCGAGGCAGTCCTGGCTTCCCTCATGCTCCTCCATCCTCTGTCTGCCCAGCTCACAACTAGGTGGCTCTTTCCAGGCTTTTCGAAGCATCTTTAAGTTTTCCCACCAAGTCCTGCAATTGTTCCATGCTGCAACTAAAACTAATCTCTGAGTAAGGCTGGGAATCATTGTTCTCTACATTTAAGGTTAACAAATATGAAGGTCTGTACATCTTATGAAGCTGACTGGTCTTTATCTGATATTCCAAGCACCTAGAAACATCAGTTATGTGAGGGAGAGATCTGCCTATACTTCTCAGTAGGATTTCCAGGGAACTCTTTTTCTGATATTCCATGGAAAACAGTTCTATTTTCTCCTGGTCAAATTTACAGTCTTCTAGGTGAGAGCTTAAAGCAGCTGTGTCCATGCCACCGTGCTTTCCTGCCTCCAGTATGTATGCTGCAACTGCTGCATGACAGTGTTTTAAAACCACTGGGTTGATATGCTTCAAGTCTGGGTGATCTAGCGGGCCACCGGGGAGTCCAGCAGGCTCCGGAAGGCTGTCCGGAGCAGCAGCGGTAAGGTGCTGGAGGGCAGCAATGATTTTTTTTAAATGAAAATGGTAAAAAAAACCCCTAAGGAACAACAAAGGTTTTCTGAAGGTTTTCTTTTTAAATTTATTATTATTGTATAGTCATCAGAGAACAACTTTCCAGAGTCAGTCCTCTTCCACTTTTGTAATGGATCTGGGGACTGAAATCAAGGCTAGTCAGGCTTGTCAGACAAGCGCTTTACTTGCTGAGTCATCTCAAAACACCCCATCAAAAAGAAAATGTCATGATGAAAAAAGTGAAAGGGAAAAAAAAAAAGGTTTCCTAGTATTTATGAAAATAGTAAAGACAATTTCACACAGCAAAGCAAGCACTAGGCCTGGAGACCTGGCTTCCAGGCAGGTGTTTCACTCTTCATTCATTAATACTTTCAGAAGCAGCCCTAAATTCTGCAGATACCTTTTCTTTTAATTGAATGATCTTTGAAAGAGTATCCATCAGGTATCTATCAAGAACACAGCAGCTACTTTGCCCAAAAGCACAGAAAATATGTGTTCTTCCATTCCTTTCTCTTACCTAGACTGTTACAGAAAAGCTAAGACAGAAAATCAAAGATAAGGAAATAAACAAATACATAAGACTCCAGTTATACACTAAGCAACTACAATAGGGAAATTCATAAGGACAGGAAAACAAACAAGAGGTTACAAAGTACTGATAAAGCAATGGACAATTTTTGTTTAAGGGTACAGGATTTCTCTCTGGAACAGTGAAAACATTCTGGAAATGCATGGTGAAGTGAAGTGTACCACATTGTTAGCATAAATGTCAGTGAATCACTTATTCCATATGGCAGGTATTAAATAATCTTTTAAACCAGTTTCCTTACCGCTAACATCCAAGTTATACACCCCTGAAATATGTACTTTTATTTTTGTGAGTGTGGTGTATGTGCACCTGTATATAGTTTTTGACTTGCACAGACCAGAGGAGGACATAAATGTTGTCCCATACCATTCTTTGCCTTATTCCTTTGAGGCAGGGTCTATCCCTAAACCTGGGACATGTGTTTTTCAACTAGGCTAGCAGCCAGCAAACTCCAGCAATTCTGTCTCTCTACTTCCCCAGCACTGGGGTTACAAGCATCCATGAGACCATGCCCTTCTTCCTACATAATGAGTAATGGGATCCAAACTCAGATCCTCATGGTTATACAGTAATTGCTCTTAACCACTGAGCAATTTCTCTAGCTCCTAAAAATTTCCTTTATATGGGAGAAAAAAAATATAGGTTTCATGGAACCCTTTCTCACCAGACTGAGTTTTTATATAAGGACTAGCTACCACCTCCCTACAATGCCCAGCTTCTTGTCTCCCAATGTAAGCTTCCCCTCTTGCATATGTTCCTGCCACGAGGCTCTTACTAGAGGTTGAACATATGAGACCCTCATCTTCAACAAAAGGAATCTAAATTTACTTTGATTCATTTTCAGAAATGTTCCAGTCACTGGGAAACCACCAACCAAAGAAATCCTGAAGTAAAAGTTCTAGAGCCCATGACTTGGGAGCCACAGGGGTGGGGGTTTCCTTTAGATTTAATAAAGCAATGATTTTTTTTTAATGTACAGAGGGATTTATGGTGTGGAAACAATTAAGATTTACAAATAGCCCTTTCCTTTCAAACTAACTTAAAATTGGAAAAGAGGATACTTTACAAGACAACTCTAGAACTGTATTGTCAGAACAGATTTAACATGAATTACCTTATTTTTCTGAAGGTCATCTATCTCGCTTGAAAACAAATGCATTTAATTTCCCTTTAGATATAAGAAAGACTAATGCTAACTGGACCCTCTAAGAAATCACAGGGCAACTAAGAATACTAGAATGAGAGATTGAGAATACTGGAATGAGAGAAAGATTATTAAAATAAAATTGGTACTGGCAGGGAACAAAGAATAAAGTTTTTTTGTTTTTGTTTTTTTTCATTTTTTTTCTCATTGCAGCTGGTTTGTTTGTTAGTTTGTTTGAAGCAGGGTCTCCCTGTAGCCCCAGCTGTCCTGGAACTCACTATGTAGACCAGGCTGGCCTTGAACTCACAGAGATCTGCCTGCCTCTGCCTCCCAAGTGCTGGGACTACAGGCATGCGCCACCACGCCTGGCCAGAATAAAGTTTTTAATTAAGGATCCAAGACTACACAGATACACGATCCAAGGAAAATAGGCATCTTCCACAGTATGGGAAGTGCTTAAATTTTATTAGCCAAGACTCCATACATTACAAATTAACTACTAGGTGGCTAACACGGGGGGGGGGGGGGGCAGCGGCTTAATTTGCATTCCAAATATTCTCTCTATATACTTTTCAGGGTTTTCAAGTGGAAGGCGGCTTAAAATCCTGCATTGCCTCCAATGGGCAGAACAACTGTGTAGCATTCTAAGGAGTAAATTTCAGGACATTATGTAGAGCTACAAACATCAGAAAGGGTTCTTTCATAGCTGAATTCCTAAAGATGGCCTTGAGGAGGAACTTTGATTAGGGGATTCATGTGGCTGGTAAGAATTGTAACAAACTGGGCTGAAGAGACAGCTCAGCAGTTAAGAGCACCGGCTGCTCTTACAAATGATCCCCAGCACCCAAAAGATGGCTAACAACCATCCGCAACTCCAATCCAGTGGACCCGACACCCTCTTCTGACCTCAGCAGGCATTGTATGATACAGGTGCACTTACATACATGCAGGCCAATACACTCATACACCATAAAAAAAAAAAAAAAATAAGTAAAATATAAAAGAATCGTAGCAAACTGTTAAAGTCTCTTTCACCTAAATTTTTTTGAGGGGTGTAGTATTGGAGATTGAATACAGGGCTTTACGCATGCTAAGCAAGTAGTCTATCACTGAGCTATACTCCTCCGGGTTAAGGTGACTTCTTTTAACTAAATGACATTATTACTTTCAAACCAATAAAATGTTGGTGAAACTTAAGAGCTCTTGGCTTGATTTTATTATAATTAACTTGGCCTGTGAGACATCCCCAAAGAGGCTGTTAATTCAAATGAAGTCATCTCTCAACAAGAGATCAGTGTGAATAAAGAAGGCAAGGTGTCACCTGCTTCCACTTTAATAGTAAAAAAATAATACAACTAAGTATAACATGTTCTTAATCCAAGTTATTTTGTCTCCCCAGGAGAAGGGTATGAAAGGCAGAAACAGACAGATGAGGGAGAGGCAATGTGGGCAAACACTTACCTGCTTCCTGTAACAACTGAAAGATACAACTAGTGATTTTATTGGAGATGGCTGCTTTTCCTTCCAGGTGGTTCTTTCTAGCTGCATTTCCTGCTGTAATTTGGTCCTTGGACTGCAGGAGGACTCTTCCTGGACTATCTAACAGTTCATAGACTTCTTTTGTTTTACCCTCATAGAGCTTTTTACCAATGTTCAATACTGTGGAAATAAACAGAATTATATCAGATTTGAGGAAGATTTTCTGAACATTAAAGACTCAATCAGCTAAAATGATAAATCCCTGAATACATAAGTAATAATATTAATAAAAATTAAATCATATGCATAGAACCTTTTCAAGGTATTTTTCTCATGTACCAACCCATAATTTTATGAGCTTGTTTAATTATATTAATAAAAAGATGAATAAACTAAGACTCAAAGAAGTTGAGGCTGCATATTTAGTATTTGCAGAACAAGAAATAATCCTAAATTTTCTGATA